GGATGAAGCAGGATGAGGCTCCCTATTTCCTTCGCCGCTGCTCCGGGCTTCGGGAGACCTCTGCCTTTTGCAGAGCCAGGCGACGTGACCAAGCCTCTTAACGAAAATCAACAGAAGGTTTAATTAAAGAGGACGAGATTTGGACTTGGGACCCTAAATCGCAAGTATTTTTAATGATTTTACAAGCGTTTTTAAGTGAAGGGAAAAAAAAGTTTAAAATGGCGACTGCTGAGGCTTGAGAAGAAGAAAGCCGAAAGCGAAAGTCCTTCCGTAACAAGCTACAAAGTAGCGGAATAAACAGTGCTGGCTAGAATCTAGAAGAAAAATATCTATTTTAAGTTTCTTTTTTCTTGGAGATTTGATATTGATCTTGTTTGGGGAGAAGTTTTCTTTCTTTAAAAAGAGTTTGTCTGTGTGGCAGGATGGCGTTAAAACTAATAAAGCCTGACAAACAAGCAGCGGGGGGGGGTGTTCCCCCATTTACAATTATGTGAACAAGTTTCGAGCTTACAGACTCAATAGAATGGCTTTAATTTAAAAGAATTTGTCCTGGAGGAAATGGCAAGATATCACGAGACTGTGAACCAGAATTTTGAAAAATTTAGGCAGGAAATTAAAGAATTGATACAACTAAAGTATGATAATTTGCAACGAAAGATTGTAACAGTGACTAATGCTTTTTCAGAAATAGTTATAAAGATGGATACAAATATCAAGTTATTAGAGTCTAAAATGGAGGAAGTTGATGATAAGATTTATAATTTGGACAATAAAATACAAAGAATTGAAAATAATTTGATAAATATTCAAGACAATAGTTTAGAAGTAAAGTCTAAAAAGGAAGCTGGTCACAAGACTTACAATGCAGAAGATATAAAGCAAGGGATTGAAAAAGAAGTTACAATGATGCAATACAGGCTCACGGAATTTGCGGTTAGAATGAGAGGGTTACAGGAAAATAATAGAGATGATTTAAGAAAAATATCTGCTCAAGTTCTGGCCGGGATTTTAAAGGTTCATCCTGAGGAGGTATCTTGTAAGATTGACAAGGCCTATAGAGTAAATTCTTGGACTGCAAAGCAAAGGCAATTGCCTAGAGATGTGGTGATTTACTTTACAGATAAAGAAATAAGAAATGATATTGTGCAGAAATCCTTTAATTCTACTCTACAATTGTATGGAAGAAAGATCTGGATATATAAAGAGTTGCCGCCCAAGATGTTAAAAGATAGAAAGAAATTTGGATTTTTGGTGACTGAGCTAAAGACACAAAACATCTCATTCAGGTGGGACATTCCAGTTGGCATAATATTGAGATATCAAGGAGAAAGATACCAACTAAATACTGTTGAAAAAGCGGAAGAATTTTACTACAAGGTTCTCAAAAAGCAAAATCAACAAGAGATAGAAATTCAGGATAAGCAGAAGGAGGTGGAAGTAATGGAAAAACAACAAGTTACAGGGGTTTTTGTAGATGAGCCGCTTCTGGATTCTCCTTCAGAGGTCTCAGCTGGATTATTTATAAATACAAGAGAGGCGGCTCTGGATTCTAATGTGATGACTTATCAAGTTACAGACCAGCATGGAAATCAATCAGTTGATATACAACTCATAGAACCAGAATGGAGATTTAAGCCACAAAAGCAAAACCAACAAGATCAAGTTATAGATCAGCATGAAAACCAAACAGTTGATATACAATTTATAGAAAGGAAATCAGGATGGAGATCTAACCCACAAAAAGTCAAGAAAAGAAGAAGCAGATCTCACAAAAACAAAAACTTTTAAACTAAACAACAGTGTAATGCCAGTTATCTAAGAGATGATTGAATATATGAAAAGATAGCTGAGGCAAAGTATTGGTTTATATTAACTTGAGGAGAGTGACAGACCTCTGCAGTGCTGTACTTTTGGGATGTGAAAAGGGCCTTAAACTGAATGGATTGGAACTATCTTTTTTTGGATTCTTTGATAAATGTACTACGTTTATGCTGAGCTACAAGGCAAGAGAGTTATGGGATTGGGGCACGCAGATGATCTGGTTGTTACCCTATTACGCTGGTTGGAATTAATAATTTAGATGAAAGACACTACTATAGACACTACATGGAATACAAATATAAAGTCACTCGGGTGGTTGTTTTTTTTTTTTTTTTTTTAGAAGATATTTGCTATTGATGGGGGCAGATGGTAATTGAAGATACCGAACATACTGTTGGAATTAGGATGTGATGTTACCCTAACATGGGTGATGGAGTTAACAATCCAGCTGAAAGACATTACAGAAAATATCATATGGATTACAAGCTTAAAGTCATTTTAAGAGGATTTTATTTACATAAGGGAATACTTTTTAGTGGTGTGGGCAGAAGAATAAAGATATTAAGAATTATTAAGTATGGTAGTCCTGTAGGAAAGTGGGTGGAGACAGGTTAGCTTATTGATTGTTTAGTTTAAGAAAAGGGATATTATGTTTAGATATGAATATATGTAAAAGATTTGAGTTAAGAGATATATCTATGGGGGTGGAGGAAATGGGCAGACTATGAGTTGAATCAATGTTAAATTAGGAATTATTATATAGTCTTATAGTGGAAGGTTGCTTTGAAATGTTATATTAATATACATAAAAGATTTGATTTAAGAGATATATGTATGGGGGGGAGAAAAAGGGTAGATTATGAGCAGAAATCGCTAAACTGGGAGATATAATATGCTAAATTAGGAGTTATTATATAATGTTATAATAGAATGTCATTTTGAAATGTATAGTATAAGGGGGATATGATAATACTATTAGAAAGAAAGGGTCAGCATATGGGGATGGAGTAAGGGGATGGTAAAGTATTATATAATCTGTTATGAATTTGGGTTTTATTTTGAAGAAGCCACAGGGGGAGGGGAGGGGGAGGGGGGGTTAGGGAGGAGGGGGGGAAGGGGGAAAAATTTGTATTTGAAAAACTTTTTCAATTAAAAAAAAAATTCTGCTTCCGGTTCTCCAGAACTGGTCATAACCTGCTGAAACCCACCTCTGGTAGGCATGCTCCAAGTGCCTTGCCTGAAATGTTGCTCTCTAGCAGGATCTCAGAAGTATGCCTTTTCTGTGGCTGCCCCTACTTGTGGAACACCTTCCCCTTGGTGATCCGGAAGGCCTCCACCCTTTTAGTCTTATGGAAGGCCATTAAGACTTGCTTTTCATCCACTGGGGCAGAGTAAGGATGTCTGGAGTTGGTTGATGGACAGTCCAAATGGACAACCACCATGACCTAGATGACTGAGAATCTCTTTTATTTTTATTTCAAATGGATGATGGAAGCACTGAGTTTTGTTTTGGTTTTATGATTTTTATGCTTTATACTTTTTATAATTCTGGATTTTATTGTGAATCTTCCAAAGTTGTGCTTTAGGATGAGCAGCTATACAAGTCTTTTGAACAAATGAATAAACAAATAAACTACAAAAGAGTAATAAAAAGAAGGCCTTTTGCTGTTCTCAAGAGTGAAGATTCTTCTTTGGCTCTGGGATATGAGAAACACAGACCCTAGAATCACTGTCAGGGGTAAAAGCTGACTTTAAAGAGTGAATTTCAAATGGAGCACAGAAGATGGAAAAGAAGTCCTCCCTCTGCCCAGCTGCTGGATGAGCTTCACTCATAGAAGCCATCACACCCCAACAATGGAAAACTGATCGGTTTGCCATTTTCTGTCCTCTGATACTTCCCACATCAAGCCAGAATCACATTTTGAGCAAAGAAAGTAAAAGCAACAGGAAATCAGGATCCTTTAAGGAGGTCAATGAGTAAAAAAAAAAAGCAACTGTACCCCAATAGAAGGACATTTTCCTCTTCTTTCCACCTTATTTTCCTAATGACTGATTTTTGTTCTCAGAGTTTTTAGGAAAAATATTTGGGGACTATAATTTTGTATTCTCTTGGAGAACATTTTGTTTTAAAGTTATTTTGAACATGGCCTTTTTATAGCTTTCAAGCTACTCTTGGCCTTTTATCCTGGAATTAGCCTTTGGGCCTGAATGCTTAACCCTTGAGCAAACTGTAGAAAGATGAGTCTTTTGCAGTTTGCAAAAGATCTTCTTTTGTAAGGTCTTCTCTTTTCTATTTTGTACCTTTTTCCTCAGCAAGCCGATTGCATTTTTCTTTCTTGACACCTTTGAATGGGTCCCTTCAAACTTTCACCCACAAGAATCTCTTCCTCAGTCCCTTCATTGACTACAGTAGCTGGAAAAATGTAATATTTAGGCCAATCCTATAGCTGGAAGTTGCAAGATGCTACATTGAATTAGTTAGACTGGTAGAAGTTTAGGTTAAGCAAGAGTAAAACAATAACTAGAAATCCAATAGTTATAAAATGCAAAACCAATAGCATGTTTGTCTGACAGTTAAAAATTAAACTGTGTGTAACACTTTAAGACTCGTTTCCTCATCTTTCTCAACTGTTAATAAACTCAGTTTGCTAATAACATCAGATTATTAATACACCCACAGTTTTTTATTCAGAACATGTTCATTTCTACCACTCTCCCAGTTCTATCTCAATTACTTCTCATTTTCTCCAAAGAAAAGAACACAAATTCCCTAAAAAGGAAATAAAAATGAAAAGTTAATCTGTAAGTGAAGAACTGGAATTTGTTGGCATATGGAAACCAGAGGGTAAAAAGATTTTGTTTTCTTGTTATCAATTCATTTTTTATAGTAATAAAAGGAATAGTTCTTATGCCCCCATGGGAGGCCAAAAAGACATATGATAGTTGTAAAAGGAAATGTAAAACAATATATCTAAAATTTGGTTTCCTTTGGCTTTCTAGGCATGGAAATATGGCTCCATTCTTCATTTAAGTTCAAAGCTTCTTCAGGGACATTAAGGAGGCAAATGACTATATTATCAAATGTCATAATTTACATAATTTACATACCAGGCATTATGACACAAGCATGTAACTGTTGTTTGAATTATGATATGCATAAGTTAAACACTGTTGTTCAGTCCTTTAGTCACTTTTAAGTCTTCATGAGCCAATGGACATCATTTAAGCATGAAAAAGAGCTGTGGTGGTGTAGTGGTTGGAATGCAGTATTGCAGGCTAACTTTGCCCACTGCCAGGAGTTTGATCCTGATGGAGGTCAAGATTGACTCAGCCTTCCATTCTTCCAAGGTGGGTAAAATGAGGACCCAGATTGTTGGGGGCAATATGCTGACTCTGTAAACCACTTAGAGAGGGCTGTAAAGCACTATGAAGTGGTATATAACTCTAAGTGCTAAGTGCTATTGCTATTATCAGTAAGTGCTTCTTTGAGATCTTGTGAGCACATACTAGCCATACTGTCTGCCTGATTTATCTTGCTTCCAGTTTCTCCAACCATCAGAATCTTCTCCCATGATTCTTGCTTTAACATTAAGGGTCCATCATATTAACTTCTGTTATCAGTGCTTTGTTATCAGTGAGCAGTTTGGTTTTATTTCATCTAGAACAGAATGAGATCCTTGAGATCCAAACTATTTTCAACCATTTTCTGCAGCAATGTGATTAAAAGGCATTTTTTTAAAAAAAAATCAGCTTTCCTGATTATCTACCTTTCACACTCAAATATTACAACGGAAGAACTCACGGTCTTGACAGTATGTACCTTAGTTGTAAGCATGTTTCTTACATGCTTTAGCATTTTGGGTATGGTTGGATATGGAACCATTCCTGTGAATTTCTGAGCCTAGGAATTTTTTTTAAAAAAAAAATGAGCTAAGGAAAAGAGAAGTACAGTATCCACTAGAGAACAAGTATCTGTAAATATTCTAGCATTTAAAAAAAAAGAGTGGTTATCAGTTATGTATTCATTTACAAGCATTTATTAGCAAGTCCACTGCATCCTTTTAGATCTGTTCCAGATGGTTTGATCACCCTCTACAACTGATTTTACAGTTTGGGCAGATATAGAAAAAACACAAGCAGGAAAAACTCCATTATAAAGTCCTCTTGAACAATGTTGAATATAGCTCATTTAATTTTAAAGGTTACTGGAAAGCAACCTTTCCTTGTTCTAACTCTATTTGAAGTCCTGCCAAATGACACCTTTCATTTACTTGTTTTTAAACTTGGAACAAACTAAATGTGCCAAGAGATAGAGTTTAATTGAAAAAAAAATTCTTGAGGCATGAATTTGTATTATAATTAATAGTAATTTAGATGTCTTTCCTCTAGAAGCACAAGGTAATATACATAGCTTTATCTTCTTGGCGATCTAAAGTCATCCAATTTTTTTCTTGGCTCAGGATTGATATTAACCTGGATTTCTCTGGTCCTAGTCTAATACTTTAATCACTATCCTCCATTATCTCTCTCGTGCAATCATTTTAGTATCCCTATATTCCAGATTAAATTGGGAATGCACTTTCCTAAAGTACATTCTCTCCTTTGTGCAGAGATCTGAAGAAACTTCAACCTGTAGACATAGTATGGTCATGGTTGGAAGAGATAAGCATCATTTAATTGCATGTAATATACGATATAATATAATTTCATATAATATTAAGTTATATCACATTTACTATATGGATGAGTTTGACTTGGAAGAAGTCCTTAAAGTCAGTATCACTAAAATAAATAAATATTTTATTTTCAAAACTATAGAAACAAAGATAGGACAGCAACGAAAAAACATTTGGAAGCCTAAGAAAACTTGTTCAATGTTTTATGTGCAACACCACCCCCAAGCCAAATCTCCCTGAGACTTAGATTTACTATCTTCACACACAACTACAAGTAATCCTCAATTTATGACCATTCATTTAGCGGTCATTCAAAGTTACAATGTTCCTGAAAAAAGTTATTTATTACACTTCCTCATACTTATGACTGTTCCCCCTGTATCCCCCTGATCACGTGATCAAAAATCTGGATGCTTGGCAACTGGTATGTATTTATAAGGGTTGTAGCATCCCGGGATCATGTCATCACCATTTGCAACTTTCCCAGCTGGCTTCCGACAACCAGAGTCAAGGGGGGAAGATGTGCAGTGATTCCCTTAATAATTGCAGCCAAAATGGTCCCAACATTGGGCATAACTCACTTAACTACCAGCTCATTTAGCAACGGACGTTCTGGCCCCATTTCTGGTCGTAAATCAAGGACTAATTGTAATTTCCAACTAAAGGCTACATTTGCCCAATGAAAGACATTCCAGGGCCCTACTCCTAGTAACAGTAGTTGCAGCCAGGGCAAAAGTTAAACCTGGTTTGATGAAATTTACATTCACGTATGATCAATATGCTTATTGTTATTGTCACAATAATACACACAATCTGGAAAAATGTTTTGAAATCACACCCAGGCTACCAAAGGCCACAAATGGGACTTTGGTGCTTTTAGCTTTTGCCATGCCTGAAACGCATTCCCCATCTCTTTTTAAGAGCTTCTAATGCCTTGGGGGTCCTTAAGTTAACATTGTACATTGTCAAACTTTCTACTCTCACAGCCAATCATGTGATTTAACAAACATTTAATCTGTCTTCTGTCAGGCTAGAGCTAGGGATTAGCAGCAAAGTATATTCAGATGCAATTTGGAAACAAAAGATCCATAGATGCATGTACAGAAACTTTCTCCATGATTACTACTGTCTCATTCAAGTAATGAGAAACAACAATATGTGGGAAAGTGATATTTGACACTGAAATGCTTCTATTAGCTTCCACTCTTGGGACCAGTTCAGAGGATATAAGATTCATTTCAGGTCACCTGTTGGTACGAGCTTCCCCCACTGTCCCATTTCCCCCCCCTCTTAGAGACGATAATCGCTTTCATTTTGCCACACCATAGTCCTCACGTATCATTTCTCAAGAGTGAAGTAATTCAAAGTTGCAAAAACGTAGCATTCTGTAGGAAAATGGTGCTGAATTTCTGACTTGAGAACCGTCAAGCAGGCTCAAGACTTGTATACGTCCCTGGTCCCCCCTCACGCCCCCCCCCACACCAGCCAGCCATGGGCATCCCAAATGAAGCCAGAAAACAAATAAAAACCATTTTAAAATGCCTCACAAGTCACTTTCTTTTCCAGAAGTTTCTTTTCCTTCTTTTTCTTAAACTGAAGGGGCGGAATTTGTCATCTTTACACAGCACAAACCTCTGCTAACTCAGGGGTTTTTGGGCTTGGCTCAAGCTGTTCACCCATTTGATAGGTCTTGCTCAAGGACACCAATGTATGACCATTCAAAGCCTCTTCTAATTGCTGGATTATCTGTATTCTATCCTTTTATGTATGAATAAGGAGCGAAAGGAAGAAGTAATGTATTAGAAAGTCAGGACCACATTGCCCAGAAGAGATGCGAGTGACTGTCGTATTTTTATTTATATGGATTTCAATCAGTGGTGGGTTGCTCCTGGTTCGGTCTGGTTCTATAGAACCGGTAGTAAAACCGGCGGAAGGCTCCACCCACCCACAACGAGGTCATCATGGGTGATTTGCGCGCTCCCATTATGAACCGGTAGTAAAGGTAAGTGGAACCCACCCCTGATTTCAATGGATGCCCATCTCAACAGTGTGACTCTGGGCAGCTAACAGGAATTCAAATGCAACATGAATACAGTGTATATACTCTGCCACTGTCATAAATGTGAGCCTATTGTCAAGCATCCGAATGTAAATTACATGACCATGGGGATGTTGCAACAGTCATAAGTGTGCAAAATGGTCATAAGTCACCTTTTTTTCAGTGCTGTTGTAACTTCTAATGGTCACCAAGTGAACTGTTATAAGTCAAGGACTACCTGTAACATATAGAACTCTTAACTAAAATTTACAAAATGACACTATTTCATAAGGGAGATGTTTGCACCATAAATATGCATAGAAATGGACCAAGATGAAGAAGGATCTCTTGGAATACAACTCTATTTTTAATTTGTCAGTTAAAATTCTAAACTGGAATAGTGTGAGACGCTGGATATGCAAGCTTAAGATTGCTGGTTTAAGTATGCCCATGAGGCTTGCTGTCTGGTTAGCAGGATCAACAGAAGAAACAATAAAGCATTTTTTATTAGCCTTGAAGTCGGGCCATTAGGAATTTTTCTTTCCAGGGAAGGGCCCACCCTACATATATTTCATAAATTGACTTCCTCGTGCCCAATCTATTTATACAAAAGAAAGCAAGCAAGAAAATAACTGGGAATATGATGGATTCATCCTTCAACAATGCTGTATAAGCTTCCATCATATTTCAATGCTAAGACATTTTTAAACATAATGGTAAACATTAGGCTTTTTTTAAAAAAAAGGATTGTTTTCTGAAAGTGGCGTGAAACTTTCCATTACAGGACAAATTTAGGAATCAGAATTATTATTAGTTTTCACTTGAGAACATGTGTTTGGGTCTTGATTCATACATATCTAAAGTTACTGTAATTGGATGCAATTGGGATTATTGTTCTGATATGTATACTTGCACAAATCCAGGAAACTATCAAAGAGAGTTTACAGTTTTTCTATCCACAGACCTCCTGCCTACCTGCATGCTTGATGAGTGTCAAACCAATCCATAGAAAATTCATAATCATCTACAATCATAGCTAAGAAACTGCTTCATTCAAAAGAGATTCTATGAAGTCCAATAAAAAGTTCAACTGGAACCCAATGAGCTCCAAGAATATTGCAGAAATAGATTCTGGTCATCCAGGATAACTTTTAGGTCCAACACAACAAGGCTTGGTATTGGTTCAAACAATGTTGCATCACTGATTGCTTGAAACCGAGGATTTTATAGCTGGTTATTTCTGGACACAGCTACTGGTCATCATAGCCATCTGGCAAAATGAGGGTGTTACTCCTAATCCTCTTTTATTTAACAAGGGATTCTTTTTCTCAGGACAGTGTTTCTCTACTTGTTATGACTTGTCATTGGAGCTGGATAATTCCTCAATCTTGTTCTCTTGAGTCTTTGGGCCACTCAGTCAGATAGGCATCCTGAACCTAGAATGGAAGTTTTAGACAATCCCTAAATCCTTGGTTCCAGTCCACTATGTCTTGAAACCAGGGATGAAATTCAGCAGGTTCTGACAGGTTCTGGAGACCTGGAAATTTTGAGTAGTTCGGAGAACTGGCAAATACCACCTCTGGCTGGTGCCAGAGTGGGGTGGGAATGGAGATTTTGCAATATCCTTCTCCCAGGAGTGGGGAGGGAATGGGGTTTTTGCAGTACCCTTCCCCTGGAGTGCGGTGGGAATGGAGATTTTACAGTATCCTTTCCCTGGAGTGTGTTGGGGAATGGGGATTTTGCAGTATCCTTCCCCTGGGGTAGGGTGGGAATGGAGATTTTGCAGGATCCTTCCCCTGCCACGGCCACCAAGCCATGCCCACAGAACCGGTAGGGAAAAATTTTGAATTTTACCCCTGCTTGAAACTATCTGCTGTCCTGGAACATCTATATTTGGGTGATTGATTTGGAAATCAATAAGGAAAATAAGAGAAGTTGAAATCAGAACTTTTGCAAAAAATTAGAATTCTATTTCCAATTTTGGAAAAAGTAATCAAGGGATTCTATGGTCTTGGGATAATGTTCTAAGGACCATAAAATTAAAGCCTTAGCTTTTTCTACTTTAAAGGAATGTTGATACATTACATTATAGGGAACCAAATTCCTTTTCACAGACTGAAAATGGCAGAAACTAGAAAAAGATCTAGCTGTTCACTAAGAACAAGATATATATTCCAGATGTGGCATTGGCTAGATATAGTTATGGATTTGCATATATTCAGTTTAATGAAAATTCTAGTACTGTATATCTGCAAAGTTTAGCTAATTATCATTAGACATTTAAATACAATTTATGTTTGTTGCATTATGAATGAAGACCAAACAATATTACCACAGGTAAAATGTTTAATAATGATCTGATTTTAATTTCATAAAGAAAAATCAAAACAAGGGAGAAATATCATATCCATGAACAAATAATCTTGATTTATTTGTCAGAAGTGGAGTTATTATTCTCGTGTCTGGGTTTATCAATATCATTATTCTTTTTCAATTAAAAAAAAATCAAGCCAGAGAATTTAATAATACCTAGAAAATAAAAATATGTAAAGGTCTTATATGCATTGGAGCTGGTTATATATTGATTTGCTCCTAGAAACGTTTAACATTTATTTCAGTAGAAAGTTTTTTTAAGTGTTCAGAATTAAGGATTTATCAGTATGAATCTGAACTGCTCCAAATCCTGCTGATATTAATCTCATCCACATTTGACTATTTCGCTCATATGCTTTTAATAATTTTCACTTTACCCCCAGCTTGGAAGAACTTAGTGTTGCCAACTCACCACAGCTAACTTGCAATGGGCAACTTGATTCAGTCAACTCAGTGTGGCCAACTCGCCACAGAATATCTCACTGTGGCCAATTTACCGCAGGACAACTCACTGCAGGACAATTCAACAATTCAATTTAAGTATTTAAAATAATTTTTAAAATATTTTAATTTTTGTCATTCACATTTCATTTTTCCCTCCTTTTGCATCCCTCTTTAATGATTCTATTCCACTATTTCTTTGATATTAGTATAACTCTTCTCCTGCAATGAGTTATCTGTGCTATGAGTTGGCTGTAGCAAGTTCTCCCACAGTGAGGTGGCCACACGGAGTTATCCTAGACACCCCGCCCAATCCCATGCCAGCTGGATTAGGGCTAGAATAAGATTTGGGCCGTGGTGAAATCTGAACCAGTTTACTACCAGTTCGCTGGCTGCGCATGGGCATTGCGCACCACACACCAAATACGAGGTGTGCGCGTGCAGTGCACGTCAAAAGGAGGCATGCGGTAAGTAGAACAGCATGCAAGGGGAGGTGATCAGCTGTGGCGCGCAATCTTTTTTTTTTACTTTTAAAAGCATTGCTTTTAAAAGGCTTTTTTTTAACCTTTTAAAAGTATTTTTTTACAACCACTTTGACTGAAGAGTTTGTAAAAAAAAATGCTTTTAAAAGGCTCTGACGATCCCAGCTGAGTTGCCTGATCGTCAGAGGCTTTTTCTTTTATTTTTAGAAGCTTTTTTTACAACCTCTTTGGCTGAAGAGGTTGTAGAAAAAATGCTTTTAAAAGTAAAAAAAAAAAAGCCTCTGATGATCGCGCGGCTCAGCTGGGCATGACGGGGGGGAGGGATTTTTGCTACCAGTTCTCTGAACCACCTACCGCCATCGCTACCGGATCAGGCGATCCAGTCCGAACTGGGAGCATTTCACCCCTGGGTTTGGGGGGAAAAAAATAAACATATTTTTGTTGACTAAAATGTTTTGCTATTGGAGAGCACAGGACCTAGAGCGGATGAAAGCTGCTCCAATTTCCTAATTTTGACCAAAATCTTGAAATTATCATCAAAGAATGCTACATAGTTGCTTTCTAATAAAATGTTGAGATTTCACAGTGAACAATACAAGTTTGGTAACATTCCCTCCTTCTTCCTCTCTCTCTCTCTCTCTCTCCCTCTCTCCCCCTGTAACCAAATGCCTTTATATTAATGTCAGCCTAAGTTCAATCAATTTTTCCCCATTCCTTGACAATCTAGAGGAAACATATTAGCGAGTCCACCCTTGGCAGCATTATTTACTCAAGCCTGGCCTTGACAACAAGAAATCTCGATAAAGTGTCTGAATTCCTATAGAGCAAATGAAACAATAAACACAGAAATATGAGGAAGAAATTATGCCCATTAAATACGGAGGGGGGAGGGAATGGGGGAAAGGACTGATGAATGATATGCTGGCTGCTTATTCAACTTGGAAATTTTACACATGATTGAAGCTTTATTTAGTCTAATGAAATGTGCTTCCTGAATATTGCATCTGAGTGACTGCATGACCCAGAGGACAAAGGAAAGTATTATGCGATTAGACTGAGATCATTCGCATTTAAAGTCATTGTGATATGATTTTTTTAAGGTTTTTAATTAGCAGCCAGGGCTTTCATGTACATTGCTGCTTTTATTGCCAGAATTCCCATTCTTGCCCTGCCCTGCGCTCTTTTAAGAAAAGGAAAAGGCAGTAAATATGTTTTTTAAAAATAATTAATAAATTTGCTAAGAACACTGATGACAGTGATGATGATAATAATAGCCACAATATCCCCACAGTCCGATGAGAATTACAGATGCAGACACCACGTTTTTTTATCTGTCAGTGGCACAATTCCTATCTTGAACTTGTTCAGCTTTTGCTGAGAAACTCTTGAAGGATCATGCAAGAGAACTGAAGGTTCCCAGCTGTGAAAATTTGGAAAGGGGGCATTTCCATTCAATTATGCTCTCCCATAAATTTGCTCTGATTACTCTCTAAGTGAATACAAACACAAGCCCTCAATTCTAGATGGTTGCAGAAGTTTAAGAAGGCAACATTCAAAGCAGCAGCTGAATCCCTAGGAATGTAGATATATAGCAGTAGTGGCAATACAATTTTGCATTGTGGTAAATGAAATTTCATTATCCGGAGCAAAAAATATAACTTCTCTTGCTGGATAGGGGTGGGGGGAGTAATTAGAGCATTTTGAAGTTCTGTATAAAATTGGCAATAAGAAAAATATGCCTGACAGTTTTGATTTGTCTTGGGTCAAAGGGACGTAGCTCATAATGGATATGGCATCTGTTTTGTTTCCTCCAGCCAGACATGTTGAAGGAAGAGCATTACTTTGGACTAAGGTGAAGGACCTTCTCTGATTCAGGATCTTAAACACAGTTACACAGTTGGAGCCATAATATATCTCAGGCTTTCTGCCACAGGAAACTGAGTGGTATTGCCAGCTTCTGTTTGATGGTCTATGTCAGGGGTGTCAAACTCAAGGCCCGGGGGCTGGATCCAGCCCGTGGGATATTTAGATGTGGCCCATGGGGCCCACCCTAGAAACAGTGAAGGACTGGCCCGCGGTGCTTCTGCTAGCGAAAATGGGCTCCCGAACTCTGTTTTTACTGGCAGATGGTTGTAGGAGGCTGTGGCAGCTGAAAATGGAGTTCGGGAGCCCATTTTCACTGGCAGAGTGCTCAGGCCATCCTAGGTGCCCCCGACACAAGTGACGTTGAGCTGGCAACACCCACCCTGGCCACGCCCCCTTCCCCAAGGTCAAACACAACCCTGATGCGGCCCTCAATGAAATCGAGTTTGACACCCCTGGTCGAGTGGTGGGTTTCAAAATTTTTTACTACTGGTTCTGTGGGTGTGGCTTGGTGGGTGTGGTGTGGTGGGCATGGCAGGGGAAGGTTACTGGAAAATCCCCATTTCCTCCTGATCAGTTGGGCCTCGGGAGGCAGATGGGGGCAGGGCCAGTCAGAGGTGGTATTGACCGGTTCTCCGAACTACTCAAAATTTCTGCTACCGGTTCTCCAGAACTGGTCAGAACCTGCTGAAACCCACCTCTGCCCTGGATTATGTCAAGCAAACGTTGCTTGAGTGTGGCCCTTGCTTACTCATAACCCAGAGATAGTGAGTAAGTGGGGCAAAATCCTAGGAGAGACAGCTTATTGTAAACTGCTTGTTACTACCCTCTGTGAAATGTTCTCTAATGTTATGGAACTAAGCCTAAAGGGAAAAGCTTCAACCAATAGCCATGGAGGCTGGGATGGTGAAAGTGGAGACTAGAATATGGCAGGTTG